GTTAGTGTCTCCTTCTCTGGCCCAGAGAGTCAGGCTGCTGGGTATTGAGGGTATCTGTAGCTGTTGAGATGTGAAGTGCTGTTGAAGTGAGTAGGCAGGCAGGCATGAGCCTGTGTTCAGGCATGAACCTGTGTTCAGCAGGCATATATGCTAGTCTCGTCGTAACCTGTCAGATGACAGGCCATCTCCATGTTGGTTCTTTGTGAGCACAGCTGCTATGAAAGTGTGGGTGTGTCAGTAGCTGCTGCAAAGTGGGGGTTAGAGAGAGGGTTTAGTAGTTAAAGCACTTGCTACATGATCCTGAGGACCTCAGTTAGGGCCCAGAACCCATATAAATGCAAGGTGGATGTGGTGGCCCATGGAATTCTGTCCTCAGAAAGTGGAGACAAGGGATCTGAAGAGTGATAAGCCATGTCTGGGCTCTGGATTTGATTGACAGACCCTGCCTCAATGAATAAGGTGTAAGAATGATCAAGGATGATTCCTGACACCAACCTCCAGCCTCCACATGCACACACATGCATGCCACACACACGGGGAAGAGGGGTTGGAATGCGTGGTGATTGTAGTTAACATTCCAGCAGTGGTGTATTTCACAGTCTTCCCCTTTCCCTGAATTGACAAGGCACACGTCAGACAGGACTGTGGGGCAGGAGGCCGGCTCACCCAGCCCTCATCGGAAGGAAGCCGCAGGACCAGGCTGTGATATGTTCTTAGACTAGAGTCAGAAAAGTCCAGGGTCCTGACGTGTGTCACAGAAGGGGCAGGTAAGCCATGTTGGGAACCTGCTCAGTGCCTGCCTTCTGGAGGTTTAAGTACAAGGGGTGGCACAGAGCACCCTCTCCTGGTGTTGGCCACCCATCTTAGAGTGCTGCCCTCACTTCCAAAGCCCCATCAGCATTGCCCACCGTGGGGCATGCTGGGTCTGTGAAACAGAGATGCCTCACTCACTGGGGCATCTACACATACCCAGGTGCTCAATGGGGCATCTCTCAGGGTCCCTGCCACTTTCATGTCTAACAGCAAAAGGGCCCCTGAGCTTTCAGTCATTCAGAAGCCCAGGAGACTGTGGAAGGTATTTCAAACTGCCCCAGTGGGCTGGAACTGGCTCTAGCCTGTCAGGCCACAGTGTGGCTGCTCCTTTCAGGAAATCACCTAAGCTCACCTAAATCACCTAAGCTGGGCTTTGATCTGTCTGGGAGAACAGGGCAGGCACCATGTTTAGATGCTGGATTGGCTCTCACAGTTAGAAAGTTCCGAAATACCTCCTTGGCTACCTGGCCTCTCCATTTCTTGCTCCAGGCTGGGCAACTCTTACCTGTATCAGGTGATACCATGGAGCTTAGTCACCACCTGCCCACGTGTTACTGGTTGGCTTGGTGTGTCTCAGCCAGTGGAGTTCACCTACCTATGTGCTGTGGTTTCCTGTGGGGTTTGCTTGTTTTGCTTTTCATGAGTGTACATGCTTCAAAGATGGAGCAATTCAGATGTTGGTATGGTCCCGTCACCTACCTGCTGCTGACTTTACTATGGTTGGCGCCACCAACCACCTGCTACCTGTTAGAGTGTGGGTCTCTTCTAGAACCCTACAAAACCCCTCTTCCTCTTCCTCTTCCTTTGAAAAGACTTTATTATGCAGATTATTAGCAGTGCCGTTGGTTTCTCCTGACCAATAAAGCTCTGTAGGGCCGCTTCCACCAGTCACTGCTCTTCTAGCTACATTGACAGCTGTTCCCCAAGCTGAGGGATACTCCCCCAGCTCCCCTGACCCACCCTGCAGTCTGTGAGCCTGGACTGGATTTGTAAAGGCAGTCTCCTAAGAGATCTGCTTCTCCCTTCACCTGTCCATGGAGGCATGACCAGCCATGGAGGTGTGACCATCTGACCATTCATGGAGGCATGACCAGCCATGGAGGTGCGACCATCTGACCATTCATGGAGGCATGACCAGCCATGGAGGTGTGACCATCTGACCATTCATGGAGGTATGACCAGCCATGGTGGTGTGCCCATTCTGCAGTTGTCAGTGGCTGAGTGTGGCAGGCCCCTGCACCTCAGGATCCCCTGCCAGGTTTATTTACTTCAGTGTGTGGTAATGCTTAGATCAACAGGGAGGGGAGCCCAGGCCTCGCTGAAGAGCCAGGTAAGCTTTGGTGTCCAGGATAAGTCAGGACAACCTCAAATCACTCAGAAAAGTAGGCAGAACACCAGAAGAGGTACTTCATCAATGGCCAGGTCCTCTTTGTGACGGGATCCCTCCACACTGGGCTGACAGAAAGAATAAAGGATGTGGGCATCTGGGGCAGTGAGGATGCTGGGGCTCCACAGGATGCACCTGCTATGATCAGCCATTGCCTGCTCCTGGAAGCCATGCTTCTCAGAGGGAGTTGCCCTAGGCCCCTGGGGATGTGGGCAGGACAGCACATTGCATCTCTGCTTGCCTAGCCTAGTGCAAACCACAACAGCCCTTCCATCCTTAAGTCACCTTTGCCAGGCTTTTTGTCACAGCAATGAGACGAGTAACTAATGCAGTGACATGAGCCTGCAGGGCCCAGCAGCATGGAGGTGGGGTAAAGGCAGATGGGTAGAGTGAGCACTGCTTCCTGGGGACAGCACAGAACAGTGATGAAAGGCAAGGTGCCACTGGCCCAAATAGTCCCCTGAGCAGGCAGCAGTCCAGCTCCACCCACCGTCTCAACCCCTGCCTGTTCTGTACTCCCACAGCTTGGCTGTTGGGGAGAGCATCATGTGGGTGCAGATGCCCAGCTGTGTGGCCAGGCTTCCTGGCGCTGTCAGAACTGTGCTTCTTTCTTGGCCGAGTGGAGCCACAGCTATTGAACAGGTGTTGGTGACATCACATTCAGGGTCAGGAGCCCCAAGGAGGGACAGAGTTGGACAGGCAAGCTTACAAGGAGTTAATGTCACCCAGGGTACAACAGCTGAACATTTGGGGGAGGAATAGGATGGTGTGTGTGAGGATGTAACCTCCATACACCTGAAGGAAGTCCTGCCTGCCCCAGAGTGCCTACCTCACACTGCAGGCCTGGCTGCTGTGTCTTCCAGGGTCACAGAGCCACCTGTGTGCTATTAAAGGGCCAGCGTGTCAAGGGCAGCCCACCCTGGCCTGTGTATCTTCAGCGGTACAACCAGCCCCTGGGGTGGGGTTAGCGAAGGGCATAGGAGTGCCCTGTGTCTACTGGGTTCCATGTGGGAAGGTTGAAGCTTCCAGAAAATTCTCAGAGTGGTTTCCCAGTCTGTGGAGGAGAAGACATCAGAGAATTGTGATCCCAGTGTACCCCCAGGGTGAGAAGGACCGTGAGGTGAGGCCGAGCATACTGACAGATGGGAGGTGGCCTGTTCTGCCCAAGTGTACGCCTACACACAAAACATAGAAACATGGAGAATGGTCTTGCTTTAAAGTTGTATCTGCTTGATTTGAAATCTTCTGACCCTGGGCTTTGCTGAAGTAGACTACATTGTGGAGATCGGGAAAATCACACACATGCAAGCAAGTGCTCAGCGGCACTCCAGACTATGCTCTTTGCTGCTGCACATTGGTCTGCCCAGTCAGTGTCCTTCCCTGGTGGTCGCTTGTTCTCTTCTCAGATCATCCAGCACTCATAGTATGCAGAGTAGGGCTGGCTGTGGCTGGGACAGCCCCTCCCATGTGTGCCAGGAGCTTGTAGGAGCTAATGTCCATGAAGACACCCTCAGCCTGTCCCCAGAGGCCACAGATAGGTGTGTGGCCTTTCCTTTACTAGTGTGTGGCTGGCCGTGTATCTGCCCAAGTTCCCTTTATGGCCTGTAAGGCTTGAAGATCTGCAGCTGCCACAGAATATGTGACATCTGAGCTACTGTTGGTTTATCAGCTTGATGAAATTCTGTAGACGATCTTCAGAAATAAAACCAAAACTGCAGGGGTGTGATAGTGCAGGCCTTTAATCCCAGCACTCTGGAGGCAGAGGCAGGTGGATCTCTGTGAGTTCAAGGTCAACCTGGTCTATATAGGGAGTTCCAGGACAGCTGGGGATCCAGGGAGGCCCTGTCTCAAAAAGACCAAAAA